GACATCTTGAAATCTGTTCTTCCTTTTCGCAAGCGACATTTCAGCAATCTCAAACATCCTTTTGACGTTAAATGTGACATATGACGTCACATTTTCTGTTCTTGTGTCGGCTTGGATATGGCAGAAGAGAAACTGACTGTAAAGCAATTGCAACAAGTAGTTAGATAATTATATTAAAATAATTTCAGATAATTAAAATTAAAAACAATAACAGATTTCACTAAGCTAATTTTAGACATCCAAAGATCTTATAATAGTATAATTATAAATTAGATTATCTCTGATTCATATTTTCCATGAGTTAAAAAGCACCTTTAGACCATAGTAAATAATTAGTAACTTGCAACAATACATATATTGATTATTTACAGTTATCCACATAATGAGACTCTGGATAAGTTAAATTAGATTTTCTCCTGGCAGCAATTCTGTGGCAGACATCCACCGCATTCATTCTGGGTAGGATGGATGTATTTATGCAGCTGCAATCTTAAAGCACAAGGTTGGGGAAAGTGATGTCATTTCTTCTTGAAAGAATGATATTACAGCCGTCTGAAATTGGATTTTTAATATAAAAATTTTTACTTTGCAGTTCTGAACTGTTAGTTATTATGACTAAAAACTGATTTATGAACATCCAAATTGAATATTCAAACTGGCTGTTAAATGTTAAAACTCCATAAAACATTTTGGGATTTTCAGACATTCTTGAATGCACTTTGTAACTGTGACAACATTTACATGCTATTTGTACTAGTAAAAAAAGTAGAAGTGAATATCTTTTATTTTATTCTCCACCAGTATGAACGTTATTTCCTGCTTTCTTAGATTTAGAAACAAATTAAAAATCTAAGAAAGCAGGTTTTTCAGATTAAATATTATGATTAACCAGAAACCCACATGCTGTGAATGCCACCAAAGTGAAACGGAGAATAGGCATACTTCTATTTTGCAGTGGTTTCAACCAGTGGCAAAAATATATAAATACATTTATTTAAATAGTAAGCATGTTTTTCCTGACAGATAGATTCCTGAAAGCATCCTAATAACGCTCAGTGAGGATTTATAGATATCAGGGTTTCCACAGCAGCTGCTCTCCAACTAGCACTTTTTGTCACAGAGAGTGATTCCTACACAGTTTTATCTTAAAATTCTCAACAAAACGTCTAGCGATGAATTAGTAAGAACTGTTGCAACTAAATATACACCAAAAAGCCATATCAGCCTTCTCCAAGGATGTTTCACCCAATTAAAAAAAAAAAAAAACTAAGACAGAATCTCACATGTCACAATCTGTGCACCCCTAGAGCTGAAATAAGTGGATGTGAGAGGAGTGTGGACACAGGTTATGGAGTCATAGTCACAGTCACAATCATGCATGACATTTTAAGAAAGAACACCACGCAAAACTTTTGCAACACTGCGGCAACCTCTGCCATTTGTGACAGTTGCAGAGATCACAGAGGAGCTCTTGCATTAACTCTAGGATTTTTGGTGATGTTGAAGAAAACTAGTTCCTAATACACAGTCATTCAATTTTATCAGTATTTCTGGTGAAGCTATATGACAAACCTTATAATCGAAGGTTTGTCAGTTATACTGATAAACAGATACTTTATGTTAATCATTGTGCTTAGGAAATTTATTTTCATAAATTCCATCTTCATTGGCCTCTAATCTATAAATAGGATTCAATAGCGACACCCACATCTCTTTGCCGCTTTTCAGAAAAGACGACAGAACGAGGAACTCAGGAAATGGGTACAAGAAAATGGCAACATGTTTAAGTTGCCCCATATCTACAATTAGAGCAATAATTGGAACTGGAACAGCAAGACTTATCTCACCACAATGCAAAGAGAAAAGGATGGAAAGGAAAATATCTAAAAAGATCTCTGCAGCCGAGTTGCATCCTGGCATTATCATGACAACCATACTTTAAAGATTTTCTTTGTTGTTTAGCTCCATTAATATAGGAGTGTAATATGAGAAATTTATACTATTTAAAAATGTTAAGCATAAAAAAGAAATAAGAATAAAAATAAATATAATAAAACATCTGCTATTTTTCTCTCTCCCTCTAAATGTGAAATCAACACAAACTGAATTAAAACAGGTCAGCTTTAAATATTGCCTCAAATTCCCCTGAAGACTGTACATGGGAACACCCACATTTTCACACGCCAATGGTCAAAGATCCAATGTCTCTCCGTGACTCAGAGCTGTGAGGCCGGTGCCCGTAAGTTGTAACGTTGGACAAAAGCCAAGAATCGCGTGAAAATGGGCAAAGATTTTCTTTTACAAGCTGTTGACTGCTGGGTGTGTGCCCTGAATCAAACATTTTATCCCTGACGGAGCTGCAAGATATTAGATTGAAAAAAAGAAAACATAAAACCAATAAAAAAAAAGGCTTTGCAAACATGAACTGACTTTGTTTAAAACTTCCTGGCGCAAAGGAGGAATTTTCATATTAAAATGTTTTCTTACAGGTCAAGTGTGGAATATCTCACTGAGAAGTCAGACAAAGTTAATAAATGTCGGAGTTCAAGAGGCATCTCAAGCTTTTCAACTAATAGTCCACACACTGTCACCTTCAAGCTACAAGGTACTTCTTTATGTTGTTTGTTGTTTTTTTCCTCCATTGTGCAAACTATGTGAGGGGGGGAAACAATTCAAACACTGTATAAAATATTTCTACCCCGTTTCTGGCACATTTCCCTAGCAGCTGTTCGTTTCTTCTGATGTCAAGCAACACAAACCAATTTGCCGGTTTAACACACTGAGTGTGATTCACGTGGGAATAAAGGGGTTAATCCATCGCACAAATCAAGGTTACGACATAAAACGTTAAAAAGAATCAAAATACTGCTTATTTCACACCTATTCTCCTGACTTCTCTCAGAGAGCAGACCCCGCACCGGCCCCCCCTCAGCCCAATGCCTCTCACTCATCCTCTCCATTATTGTTTATTCACTTCCCGTAAGCTGCACGCACAGGGTCATGCTTGAGGTTTGAAGTAATACCAGGAAACTGACAACATGTGCCCACCTAGACAGTCTACCCTTGCTTTTAAAGATAGAAATTAAGACATTCTCACCACACAAAATGCAAGCAAAAAGGTTTGATTGAAAGTTTGCGATGGGCTACTAATAAAATCAAGTACGCTTTACAAATTGATATGATGTTGACAACTGAATGCAAACAAGAAGAAATTATGTTAAGCAGGAAAGAAACACATACAGGGACATATATGCTACTAATAATATACATTAAACAGAGACACCAACAATCAGCTTCACTTTCATATTTGTTTACTAAATGTATTTTGTACATGTTTAAAAATGTACAAATTATACTTTTTGTTTTACTTCACACATTATAAAAATATAAATGATGACTGTGTCTTGAAATGAGCAGCAAGGAAAGTAAAAATAACTATTGTATGAATAAAGTACAAATAACTATTCTTATTTTGAGAATATAAGAAGAAGAACTCCTTTTTTTAACCAGAAACTACTGTATGAACATAACACCAGACTGCACTTATTTAAAAAAACATTTTTATTGTCTGCCTTATTTATAAATGATTGAATGCAGAAAATTAAGCTCAAACAACCAATGAGAAATGTGTTAGTGTAACAAACACAGACGTGGAGGATATTGCTTAATATGCCGCATCAATAATTCTGTGGAAACAGGCTCCTTGCCCCAATGAAGTCGTATTACACAGATATGAACTGCTATCTAACTAGAATAACAGCTAATGAAGTGGTATGAGAAAAAAAGGAGGCTCTATTTACAACTCATAGCAAAAACAGCCACATTTAACAGCTGATAAGACAATGCACAAGAGTGCTACAACCTGATAGCGTCAGGTTGTAGCACTTACTGGAAGGAAGAAAGGAACAAAGCAGATAATTATTTGCCAAGAGTTCCTGTTGGAAAAGATGAATCTCAGTGGGGCAATGGAGGATGGACTGGCACAGGCTCTGATTACTTACTTCTACTTCAAATCCTATTTAACAAATAATAATAAATGAGCGCACTGTGTTCTTTTTCACAGGGAGTGGACCCACAGGAAAGCTCCGTGTCAGTCTGAAATGAAAACGGACTCTATTCGCAGACATCTACAAGTCTTAAACTGTGCCCTGTTCAATTTAAACATCAAGTAGAACTCAATCGATTCTGTCATGTTCCACTTGCCCTGTCACTTTTGCGGTGTGAGAAACCATAGAAGGAGGAATCCACTGGAAAACTGGAAGACTGTGCTGTACTTTGTTGTAATATGTCTTACACATGGGTTTTCCTTTGGAAAACTCAAAAGTTTTTCCGGCCTTTTTGATGACGTTAACGATGAAAGAAAATCAATGGAGAGAGTGTATTGGTCACTGCAGCGTTCTGTTTGTATGAAGCTATGCTTTTCACAGTTTATTCATTAAAATTAGGCAGCATTTCTTGCAATTATTGATTTGATTTGATTTTTCATGTGGAAAACATGTGGCTAAGGTAAAATTATAGAAGAAGATAAAGAGAAAGATTTTATTTGAAATATTATTTAACATTTATTGCTTGAAATTTGAGCATAATTATCTCAATTACAATTAAATAATCAGATTATTTCTTTAACTATGATCAGACAGCCATGTTTTACACATAAAAACTGCATGTCCCAGCAGTATAGTTTGTCACTACTATTGTTTTATAAACAGTATTGTTTATACCTGATGAGGTCAGGTAGTAAGTGTGGACTTAAGATAAAAGAGAAAATCATCTTGTAACACAGTGAGTATAAGGAAGTATGTCAACAATTCATTCAAGGAAGTTAAAAATTCAAGCACATGATAATGATAATGAGCCATTTCTTAAATGTAAGTTTCACCTTAACAAGTCCTTAACACAAGCAATTTTCATTTAGGAAGACAATGAATCAATAAGCTATACCATTATAGAGATGGCAAAAAGAAGAAGGAAAAAGAAAAAGTAATGAACAGAACCCGTACCTTGGGAAGCGGGCGTCCCAGCTGAGCATATAATTTAGTCCAGAGCTGCATGAGAGACATGGGTCCAACCGCTACGGTACGGCACGGGTGAAAATACACACAACATAAGCTCTTGCTTCACCTCAACTCCCTGAATCCGTCAGCCACTTCCATGAGGAAGCCAAAACGCCGGTGATCACCTCACAGCTGGAGGGCTAGCACCCCATCCCGGACCCTGACTGGCCCTGTGACTGCTTCCCCCTGGCTCACCGCAGACATCTGCCTCAGCGCCCCCACCACACACAGGTGCAGACACGCTCTCTCGCAGACAGAGACACGGGCACGTCTAAAACATGCTACCCTGCTTCGCAGGGAGACAGGCAGGTATTGGCAGAGAAGGCTCACTAATAATGATTGTGGACTAGTTCATTTGAGTGCAGAAAGGTGGTTGGAGAGTGAGTGAGTGAGTGAGCAGGGGAGTATAGGGGAGGGGAGAAAAGGGAGGGAGGAGGGGAGGAGCTTTCAGGAAATGATGCTTTTGTTGGTAAGTGACTAGAGTTACTGGCAGTCAGGCCCATTTTACTGTACATGGTGTAACTCAACCGCATTTGTAGTGTAAACAGTGTTGCGCTGTGGACCTGGCCGCTCCTCACACAGCGCTGCTTACAGCTATGTTTAATGGGCCTGGCCCACCATTTAATGATTATTATATTTAGAGACTGACTCCCCACTAGACTGTGCCTCTGCTTTTTGTTTCTTTGTTTTGTCTGCAAATATTCAATTTCACGTCTGCTGCTCTTGCAATTCATTTGAATTTGAATTTCCGTCACTAACTCAGACGCTGAAAGGCAAGTAATGCTCGATGAGAGTGATTTACAAAAAAAAAAAAAAAAAGTGAGTTTGTGTTTGGATGTGAGCATCCAAACACAAACCCAGGAGAAGATTTAATTTAGAAATAAGTGTCAAAATATTGTCTCATTAATAAAAATCTATGATTGAAGATAGCAGAGCTCAAAATGTGGAAGTGACTCCTCTAAGAATATTCTATGTGCCTTAAAATTGTGAATGAAACAAGTCGAGGCTGAACTGCAAGTTTCCTTTTGCGGAAGAGTTTTGCATGCATCAGCCAGTATACACAATTACAGACAAATCCATCATAAAAAGTCATTCCTGCTTACTGGAACTGAGGGCGTGATTGTAAAAGACATACAAGTGCACAAAAGCTTATTCTGGGAATCTTCTCTTTTTTTGCAAATTGGACAATTCAGACAAATCCAAGACGCTGATCAAGGATGACATATCAGTTTTTCTTGGTGGGGAAAGCAATTTGACTGTTTATGATCCTCGTAAATAAGAATTTAAAATAATGTAATTTGTCTCTTTCATACAGGAGTCGGTCCATTTGTGCAGTCAGCTTCCAGGAACAAATGATATCAAGCTGGGACGGTGAGGTCCTGTAATGTCCATCTCTGCTGGACAGAAGAGGAGTCAGACTCTTAAGAGGCAGCATGGCGCCTATCCATGGTGTCATCGTTCTATGAGTGGGAATCCTCTCAGTAGTTTGTGTGTGAGTGTGTGTGCGTACATTTGTGTGTTTGGAGGAGCACCGGGGGCCATCAGGGAACACTGAATCACTACTGATGAGATTCTTCAGACTCAAACAGCCAAAGCACTCACCTTATTGCATTAAAGAATAAAAATAACAGTATACATAGTTTGAACAAGGTTAAAAAAGCAGCTGTAATGACACTTTTCTATAAAATCTCATATACATTTCTTAAGTCCTGTGAAATTGTATTTTTGTTCAGATATTTGTAAATATGTTTTGCATCTGTGCAAAACTTCTGGTACTTTGTATTTTGCTGAGTAAGTGGCACAACTGTGAACACTTTGCTGTATTAATATGAATCATATTTTTTCTTTTTAAATAAACCCAGGAATATTTCAAACTCCAATTATAAAACAGTGCACAATAAGTATAGAAATTAACGACTTTAGAGTGTATTTTAAACTGGGATTGAAATACACTCTAAATCCACTTAACATACAGACAAGATATATGTCAAGGGTGGCAACTGAGATCAAATTCAAGATGTACCTTGAAGCTAAGTAAATCACGTGTAACTACATAAAAACAGGACGCTTATCAACTTTCAAATTAACCTTTAACTTCCTCCTTCAAACCTGGCCACTAAAAACACTTTCTGTTTGACTAACCTACAGGGAAGTAGCCCAGAATTACAAACAGATTCAAATCCTGACTGACTTGGAAAATGTGAAGGAACGCCCGTGTTAGTGTTCAGTTGGATAAAAATTTCTTTTCCACTTCAACAATATTTTAATTGCCATTACCAAACAATTTCAGGCTGTGTTAAGCAGACTTGAATGAACCCATCTAGCATCTTTTGAGTGAAGTTGTAGTTTTGAGTCCGACAGAAAACAAAGTCATTATAAGATTATCTAATTTATACATCAGAGTTAAATGGACGCTTTTGAAGGAAGTCAGGAACCTTGTTCTGAATGTTACTGTTTCCTGATGTTGTAACAAATGAGAAAAGGAGTTTTCAGTTTAATGCATTTACTAAATTTTTGAAAATTAGATATTTTTTTGTTTTCTTTGGGGGGGGGGGGGGTATTGGACCTGTGGATCATCAGTAAGATCACAAGATCATGCATGAATAATTGACTACTGCATCTAAAAAGAGATTTCTCCAAGTTGCATATAGAATATCTGCAGAGTTGCAAATGTTTTCAAATACAAACACTGTATACTGCTTTTACAGAAACCCCTGTTTACATATTCTCACAAGAGTCTTCCTGTTTTCTGAAGCAGTTTTCTCTTTTACTCCTGTGTGCGCTGGGATAATATCCCATTTTAAATCTATGTAGGGACATGGTAAGAGCAACTGTCACAAAGAATAACATTAATTATCTTATGTGGGTGATAGTGCGCTGTACAAGCAAGGTCAGCTAAAGACAAGCTGTTTTAAATGTGATATATCCTGTAAACTTGAAAAGAGCTGTAAAAAGATATCTGATGCAAATTAACTCTTCCTCAAACAGCACAGAGCAAAAGGATTTGTGTAAAAATGGGAGGAATGACAAAGGAGAAGAAAAGTTTGTAGAAAGACCCTAAAAGGACCATGTTTATATGTGCATACTGCTGAGTAACATGCAAAAACATACAGCATGCAATGTACTGCATATGTCAAATTATGTGCTTACAAAGTGCTCTTCACTGTTTGAGGTTAGCCAGAATGCTGAGTGAATTGCCTTTTTCAGCTGTCTTCCAGTAAATGTTGCAACAACTCTCATTCTCTGCAGAAATATTCACATTTTTAGGGTTTTTAAACCACATTTAAGCCTGGGCAGGTGTGCAGATGTGACTGGGAAGAAGTGTGCCGTTCTTTTAAAACCACAGAGGCATGTGATCGATTTTGCAGTTGTTTCTTTCAGAGTGTTGTTTTTGTAATTTACTTTTGTTCCCCCCTTACAACTGATTCTACATAAAATAGTCTCCTTAAAATGTTATGCTAAACATTTTTCTGCTTATAATTACTTTCCACTGTTTATAATCCTTTACTGCAATTTATAGTGGCTCCTATTTTAAAGGTTACTTTGTGCATGTGTTATTACTGGGGAATTTTCTCACCTTGTTCTGTACATTGGTGATTAAAATAATGTATGCTTATTCAGCTTAAGCATGAGGAAACAGTTTCAGGAAATAGTAAGCTTCTCTCCTCTCCATAGGTAAACTGTCTGAGAATAAAACTCTATGACTCCCCACAATGGCAGTGGGAATAACTATTATAGACTATTGGAATCAGAAAACAGCAGTCAATTGGATCCACTCCAAGCACTCAGAATGCTGAGGTATGTAATCCTTCATCAGTGCAGCTGGAGTGACTGCATAGTGTGTTATGAAATAAAGTGACATATTATTTCATCATTCCTGTGACATTTAAGTAACACTTTTCTCAATTTTATCCTAGAGGGTATTAGTGCTGTCAATAAAACTCATCTACTCACTTTTCACACCCTCCCCCTTCTCTGTGATCTGCTCCAGCTCCTGCTGTGAATGCACACAACAGTTAGCATGCAAAAACAGTTTTTCTGTGATTGCAAAGTATGTGCTGCTTATGTATGAGGAGTACGTACACTAGCATTACTGAAAGTGGTAGGACCATTCTCCTGACTGATCGGTTGTCTCTGGTCAAGCAGTTTATTTCTGAAGATAGCTCTGGAGAAGGCAGAGGAGCTAGATTTTGTCGGCTTATCTCTTCACTAACAAAATTTTGCATGTTTGTTAGTTTTAACAAATAGGTGAAAAAATAAATAAAATTTTTATAAGTTACCTATTGTAGTTTTAAATGTTAAAGTATTTAAACTCAATACCTAATTATTTTGACCATGCACGCAATGTATAATGTAGCTGCTTTTAAGCAGTCCACCACTACTGCTACTACTACTACTACTGCCACTTGAAATCATGATACAATACTAAGTTTGTTGCCTCATTGTTGATGTAGAGATGCACATAAAGAGCATGAACACAAGTGTTTCGACATGTACGCCTACTTAACACACCAAGACTCACCCCTACACAACACTCTGACTTCACAGAAGACATTAACAGTCAGCAGAGACGCTGTAGCGCCAGTCTGTCATGCTAAAAGTGTTTAAACAAGATGTACACTGGGTTCAACAGTAAGTAATACAAGCTGCACTTGAGAATAACTTGTTGATGTAAGCAGTGATGTCGATTGTAAAGATGAACCCAAAGTAGATTTTCTAAAGCTACTTGAAGCTAGCCAAGCTGTCTGCCTGCTACATTTCTTCCAGAAGACGTTTTCAGGGACGCATTTAGATCCACATTCACGGATGAATTATGTGCCAGTGTGTCAATGTGCAAAGTTTATGCAGATGACAAAATAAATGTAAGTTTACTCTCTTTTTGTAACTAAGTGTGTAGATAATGGTGATTTCTAAATGAATTAAGTAACCTTTTTCAGATTGAAAAAGAGGTAAAAAGGTTTAAAATCTCAATTGTTTTTTATCCTAATAAAATGAAGGTTTAATGAAAAAATAATACTTCAACCAGACAAAGACATAGGTAATACATATATTAAAAATAAAGCAATTTGAAACATGCATGGAAATACTAGAGTATCTATTACTGCATTTCAGGTAAAAGGTAGTAATAGAAAGAGATCATTTTTTCCTTTCGAGTTGCAGTTATGGGTGAAAAGCTCCTATTTTTGTTCATTTTCAGTTTAATCTAATGTATGAATACATAGACTTTTTTTATTTCAATATCAAGTGCACCATTTTACTTGTTTTTAGTGTGCTAATGGAGGAACCTTTCACATATTTTTGCATCCTTCATTTTACAGTTTTCTGCTTATATTTTATGTCATGTTATGCAGAAAAAAAAGCCTTTGAAGAAAAATGTGTAAATATTCAAAGAGTCAGTTGCCAGATTCATAAAAAATATTGGTAACTACATACAAAAGCTTTGATTTAGCTAGATGTTTGAATTTCTCTCATTCCCTTTTCAAGAAGCGGTGCTTAACACACTGCTGCTTGTTAGTTAATTAGTCGTGTCATTCTGCTCAGTTTTGAGCCACAAGTGGGTTGTTTATTACACGGTACCTCTCAGCAAGGGTTAATTTTCAAATTTTATCGTGATAGAAGTGGTGCACC